CACACACACACACACACACACACACACACACACACACACACACGCCCTTTCCTCTAGGTAAGCCTTTATAAACACCATGGTCTAGATTAGGCCCTGGGGTCTTCTGTCCCACCATGCCCTGAATTCTTCCCCCATTACACTGTTAACAATTGAGGCTACATTTGTATTTGTATAATTATATGCTTGACACCTGTCTCTTTGACCAAAGTGTAACCCATCAAAGAACGATGCATTTCTCTTTGCCCATGGCCACGAACGCAGAACGGGGCATTAAAGACAAAACAAGCCACAGAACCACGGAACTTACTGCACAACTTGTTCTGGAACACAGAGGTCAAAGGTTCGATCTGGCTGAAATTGGCCACCAAGAAGACGTGGTCCTTGTGGGGCTCACTCCCGATGGCCTTCAGTGTGTTCAGGTCCACCTGGCCCACACCAATGGCAAAGATCAGGATGCCTGTGTCCCGGGCCTTTGCAGCCACCTCAGCCACTGAGTCCTGAGGCCTCCCGTCGGTCACAATCATCATGACCCGGGGCACATTCTCCCGCAAGGGCCGGGCCCCCTCTGCTTCTGAGAAGGCAATGTTGAGGGCATACTGGATGGCCAGTCCCGTCATGGTGCCTGTGGACAGGTGCCTCATCCTCCTGACAGCTCGCTCCACCTCAGACTTCCTCTTGAAGGTCTTCAGAGAAAACTCGTTCTTGACTGTGCTGCCATACTGGAGCAGGCCTACTCGGGTGACATCAGGACCGATATCCAGGAACTGGAGGATATCCAGAATGAACTCCTTGACCTTTGAGTAGTCGTGGGCATTGACACTTCGGGAGCTGTCAATGATGAACACCAGATCCGCCCGTTTATTCTCACAGGAGCTCTCTGGGGAAAGAGCAGAGGTCGCAAGAATCAGAGGGGAAGTGTTCGGATTTCCTTTTCTGTGTCTGTAATAAAACGCTGGCCCAAAAGTAACATGGGGATATTTGGCTTACGGGTTATAGGTCAACATCAAGGAAAGCCAAGGCAGAGATTGTGGAGAAATGCTACCCATTGGCTTGCATCCCCTGGCTTTCTTAGCTACTTTTCTTATTCAGCTTGGAACCTGGCTGAAGTCGGCTGGGCCCTCCCATGTTGTCAGCATTCAAAAAAAAAAAAAAGCCCCCACAGACATGCCCACAGGCCAGTCTGATGGGGACAATACCTCAATTGAGTTTCTCTCTCCCCAGGTGTGTGTAAATTTGTGCCAAGCTGACCAGAAACAAGAGGTGAGGACCCGATACAGATTGGTTCTTGTGGAATGTCCTGGGACTCGATCACTTTTGTAACCTCCAAAATTCAGCTTTATTCTTACCAGGAAAGTTCTCAGGCATATCTGTGCCTACTATGTGATCATGACCCTTAGTTACAAACAGAATTTCTTTTTGCAAGATAAGTTTACAAAGTCACCAATGCAGTTTCAGACAAACCCTTTATCAGAGTCAAAATTATTTTACTATCTGTGGCACGGCTCATAAGTTTGACAGCACTACAAAGACTGGGAAATGCTTACGAGGGTCCAGTATCAAATGGCTGTCTGTCTGTTCTGGAGGATGGAGCCAAGGGAGTAAAGACATGTTAAACTGAGCTTCTAACAACAGACTAAGAGAAAGATCAGCAGTAGGTCCCGAGAGATGGCTCAGCAATGAAGAATACTGGCTGTTCTTGCACAAGACCTGGGTTTAATTCCCAGCACCCACACAGCGGCTAAGAACTGTTTGTAATTCTAATTCCAAGGGGATCTGAGACACTCTTCAAGCCTCCAAGGGTCAATGTATGCGCATGGTACACAGGCATACATGCAGTCTAAACACACATAAAATAAAAATAAACACATCTTTTTTTCCCCAAAGAGAATTAGAGATAGATAGATAGATAGAGAGAGAGAGAGAGAGAGAGAGAGAGAGAGAGAGAGAGAGAGAACTGACGTACAAGGGCTGTAGACTGATGAGGCATGAGCTGCCCCCTTGTGAATACAGAATGTCTGGCTTGAAAGAACACACAGAGGGACTCATGAGCAAAGCCCTAGCCAAAAGGAATGGTGGATAACAGAATAAGCAAGCATCTTTAGAACACAGGGGATACTAGGAACTACTGGTTTGGATTATGTGAGAATGTTCTGAAGCCAGCTCTAAAAGACCTTTCAACTGAGTCTCAGAAATCTGTGCAGGGGTCACAGATAGCATGGCATCTCAGCATCATGTTGTATAAACCTCTTGTAGAGAAGTTGCATAACCACAGTCAGCAGAATCAGGGTTAGGAGATGCAGCGTGGTGGGAGAGCATGCGCCTAGCATGCACGAGCCCCCGAGTTAAATCCTCAGCTTGGAAAGTCTGCCAGAGGTTCCAGGTGCATGACCCACACCACTGTTGGAATTTCTGAGAGACATAAGTGACAAGCCGTTACTGTTTGCATGTTGTTGGTCCCCAAAGGTGCACGTGTCCAGACTTAACCCCTGTTGTGAAGCATGGGAGAAGAGAAGCTTGCTGTAGCTATGGTGTCCAGAGGGTAGACCTTCGCTAGGAACTAGGATTGAGTATGTCCTGAGCTCTCGTGACTTTTTAAGAGTGCTAGAGGCACAATCGACACATATACTTCCCTATCATCAATGTCTCCTTGCGTGTCTACCAGCAAAATGTCATTTTTTGATTCACTGAACTCTGAGTCAAAATAACCCACTATATTTTTATTTTACACACATGCATGTGTGTTTGGGTTTGTGTGTGTGTGTGTGTGAGCAAGCATGGAGGTAGGCCCTTTTCTATTGTTCTCCACCTTACTTTGAGGTAGGTCTCTCTCATGAACCAACAGAACAGACCGCTTGTCCATTGGCCAGCCAACTCCAGGGATCCACTGGGGTTGTAGACATGTGTAGCCATGCCCAGCTTCTTATGTGGGTACCGAGAACCCAAAGAGCTTTCATGCATTCGCAGCAAGTCTTCCACCAATGGAGCCGTCCCCTCAGCCACTTTATAAAGTCACAAGCTACAGCTGTTTCCTTAGCTCGGCAGAAAATATACTGATACACTGCCTTTAGGCAAGATAATCCTCCCCTTCCCCCTTCTCTATGCCCTTCCCGGACTTTGCAGCTCAAGCAGGATTTGAAAGAGATTAGAGAAAAGATCCCAAGTGCTTGCCCTAAATCCCAACCACCACAGCTGCAAGAATGAGAAAGAAAGCCAAAAAACAAGACAGCGAAGCCAGTCATAAAAACGGGAAGTGAGAAGGCCTGTGAAGTCGTCCTGTCCAGGCTAGCTCGCCAGGTGGTGACTTGTCTCGCTGAACTGGCATACACATCTCCTCACTGCAGCCATTTGAGCCCAACAGTCTTCAAAGAGGGGGTGGCCCCAACACCAGTAGTCTGGCAGGAAGCCCACATACAACACATTCCCATTTAACAACTGACCCCCAGACTGGGAGCCAGGCACAGATAGGGTGAGCCTCCCTAAACAGAGGCTCCACAAACTGCCTTTTGGACCCAGAAACAAGAGCAACAGAAACCTGACATTTGCAAAATGTTCTAAGCTGTTTTTCAGAGTGATTTCCACAGCAACCGAATTGCACTCTCAGAACAAGCCATGGAGAAGAGTTGCTAGAACTGGACCCATTGCATAGATGAGCAGACAGAGGTGCTGAAGGGTCTGTGAGCCTTTCATAACTCAGAAAAAGAGAAGACCCAGAAGTGGCACAAATACCCACCTCTCAGAGCAGCTGTGAACATTGCAGATTCCACTGCTCCCCCTCCTTCCTTAGCCCTCACACTCAGCTCAAGGCTGGGAAGGAGCAGGGCTGGCGCTTATAGTTGTTCAGCTGGTACTAGATATAGGTACCTGAGCACACACCCAAAGAGGGGAGGGAACTAAACACCAGGTAAGACCTGAGCCCCAAAGGCTGTCTGCCTAAGAGGCACCCCTGCTCCTCATCTTCATGAGGGGCCCCGTGATCTAGCATGTGGCCCTAGGCTGCAGCTAGACGCTGTCAGGATGGCTCAGGACAGTTCCCCTCCAGACGCTACACCTGCCTACCCATTCTGGGTAAGTCTGGACTCATTTCTGGGATGACGGTCCCACAGTCTGTACCTGCTGAGAAGATCGGTGAACTGGACTTAGACCTCACCACAGAGAGTGAAAGGGAGGAGAATCCATAGAGAACTAAATCCCCGAAAGCTCTCTTCTCCCAGAGACATTTGGTAGTTAGGGTTTTTGCTCAAACTGAGATTTGTACTGTGAATCTTACTTGTGGCATCAACATCCCACCGAGCATTACATTTGAAGAAAGTCCTGAAAGGTCCTTGTGGAATTGTATGCTAAGCTGGAGTGGTTCCCATCAAAACAAATGAGTAGTTTCCACAGTGCTTGGGACATTTAAGAAAAATCCCACAATGGTCCAAACTGTGGCTAGAGATTCTAAGAGAGTTCATTGTAGCTCTAGGCTGAAATCGTGCTCTAGCAATCTACCCTTGAGGAGTCAGTGTGCCCCTAGAAGGCTAATTCAGTGGTTCTCAAACTTGAGCTTGCACCCCAGTTCCCTGCAGGATATCTTAAAAGCTAAGGTCAGTGACTAGCATCCCTAGAGCTGCTGACTCAGTGAGTTTGGAGAGGCATCTGAAAACTCGCCTTTCTAACAAGTTGAATGGTGATATTGATGTCACTGGTCCAGAGATCCTGGTCTGGGAAAGACTAATCCAGGCAATGGGTCAACTCTGGGAAGTCCTGACTTCACCGCCTCCTTGTGAGTCCCACAAGGTGGGGCTCTGACCCTCTGTGGTGGGAAATACACTGAGCAATCCATCAACACATGTAGAATTAAGGAGAATTAAGGTGGTTAAAAGGAGGCTTCAGGGGAAGGAATTAATTCAGGGCAGTCATGGCAAGGAAATGATAACCGCAAAATCAGAAAGTTCTAGAATGGGTATGTATCCTGTTTGTGTGACTTAATTTCAGTTCCTACATCTTTGCTGTTATACACAGCGTCACCATGGCCGAATCCTCCTCAGTTCATAGACTTTCAGACTACAAGTCAGAGGATCCCAAGGAGAGCCAAGACTCTGCTTTACAGAAGGGGAAACTGAGGCTTACGGAAATGGTCTTTCCTCTGAGGGCTGTCATGCTCACACTACAGTCAGGCTGAAATAACAATGGTATCTTTCCTTTAAGGTCCCCTTAAGACATCCCCAGGGCAGCAAACATGCAATTTGAGCAAATCTGCAATATGAGTTTTGCAAATGCTTGAGAACACTGAAATACTTTCTGTGGAAATCTGTAGCTTCTCCACAACAGCCAGCCGAGAGAAGTTTCCAGAGAAACTCGTGTTAACTGCTGGTGCTGAGGAAGGATGCCCCTTCTCCTCGGCCCCGGGAAAGACACACAGTGATCTTCCTCTTGGCCCCTCATGACAGGACACTCAGCCGCACTTGGATGAGGTTTTTTGAGTACATAATAAAATGTCATCCCTCTTGCCATAAAGCAATGGTCTGGACTCTGTCAACAGCACTTCCAGTCTTGTCATCTTGACTCAACGTCCTGGCATTGAGAAAATAGTCTCTTGTCCTTTCAGAAGGGAATCGGAGCCAGGAGGAGAATTTTAAGAACATTTCTACCCTGCAGGATGACAGTGTGCAACCTCACAATTATCTCCTCTTTTTGGGCTGCAGCTTTGTCATAGACTGACTCTGGTAAGGTCAATCACATCATCCTAAATATTTGCTGCCGTCTGCCTGGAAGGGGGCTGGAGGTGAGTCTCTATAAGAGTACAGTAATGTCATCTGGAGGGGACGCTGAGGTTCTCGGGGAAACAGCAGTTGAGTCCTGTGATCTCAGATCAAGTCCACGCTCTGTCACTTTCTG